GTGATTAATCATGATTAAAACTTATTTTTTTAAATTTAAAATTGCATAAAGATAAGTGAACAATGTTGAAAAGGGTATTTAGGTAGAAAAAATTATGTAACTCCCATATCATTAATTAATTGGGAGTTACAAAATCAAAATTCTATGATTTTTTTGTTAATTTATTTTTGTTAATATAAGAACCATATGAACACAACTATATATATATGAACCATTGTGTCAAATACGAACAAAAATTTGACATATATATGAACTTGGACTGCATAGCATTTATAAACACAATATGAACATAATAAGAATAATTGTTATATGAAAGAAAATAAAAAAAAACATGTATGAACACGATATGAACAGCTTGTGAATAATAGTTCCTTCATTATAAACACATTCAGGAGCGATCMTTTGTCAATTGGAGTTTTATACATGCATTGCATCCACACTGTTTAAGGTTTACCCCTTGTTCATATATGTTTCTGATCTTATATGGTTGTTCACCCCTTGTTCATATCGTGTTCACCTCTTGTTCATATCGTATAAAATATATGAACACATAACCCCAACGCTATGAACACCGGGTGCAAACACTTACACAAATATAAAGATTTGGTATCAAGCTTGAAAAATAACATTTGTGTTCATATAATAAAAGTAACATGAACACAATGGTTCATGATTCATAAAAGTCGGTAATATGACAATATGAAAATGGGTCGTGCATGTACTTCCATTTGAACACGTGAATTAGGTACGTATTTTAACAATTAAAGAAAAAAGATATCAATACAAGATGAGTTATAAAAAACACAACAYATCGTAATGAACATAATTTCGATTAAAACGAATCTAAAAAAATAAAAATCTATTACCAAGACATCTGTTTTGGTTAATTTCTTCAATTTCCGAACTCGAACTCCGATTGTCATCATAAACCATTTTAATCTTCTCACTGTTGTCGATTTATTTTCCATTGCGTTTATCTATATTAGCTTGATCGATACCGAAATTTTTACTACCATGTTTTCTATGCGAATTAAAAACTGATAAAACAATAAACATGAAAGATCAAGATTAAAAAAAAATTATTAATATTATAAATGTATATTTTTTTGGGATTTGATGATTTGTAACTCCCCATTAATTGTTTGGGAGTTACATATCAAATAAATTTACTGAAATACCCTTGTAATTAAAATGTGAGCATGACATAAACCTACAAGAAGAATGGAATTTGATTGGTTGTCATGGTTTTCAAAGTTAACACAAAGTTATTGGTTAACATTTGATCTTTCCCCTATATATATATATATATATATATATATATATAATTCTCTTCTAAAACACAACTCATGGGTGGACATGAGATTAAGGTGATCAAGAATTCAGATCTCTTATATATTACGATTCTCACCATAACTTCTCTTTTCACACGATCCTTCATACTCATCTTATTGGTAATTCGGTTGGTATTGTGACTAGGGATTAGGGGTGCTCAAAAACCCGATGAACCCGACCAACCCAACCCGAATTTTTTAAAAAAAACCCAACCCGAGGTAACCCGATGCATGATCGATAAAAAAATTAGCCAACCCGACCTTATTGGGTTGGAATCGGGTCAAACCCAAAAAAACCCGACCAACCCGACAACCCGATGAACCCGACCTTAACTTTAGCTTTGAATTGTAGATGACAGTCATGACATTAACAACCTCAACGTCAAGAAAGCGAAAGCATCGGGGTTGGAAACGTCTAAAACTATTGTTATTGATTGATATATTATCATTTGGTTTAAACATTTTTATTGTAATATCTAAATATTTGATGAACTTGTACATTATCTTGAATGGTCGGTCGTATTTTAAAGGAAAGTTTCCTTTATTTTTATGTGATTTTACATTGTTTAAACACAACCCGATCAACCCGACCAACCCGACCAACCCGATCAACCCGAACGGGTTGGGTTGGGTTGGGTTGAACTTTTGTTTGGGTTGGGTTGGGTTGAAAATTTTCAAACCGCCAACATTGAGTTGGGTTGTTAAAACGGCTCCAAACCGATCAACCCGGGCCGTGAGCACCCCTACTAGGGATGTTTATGGTCTAGTTCAATTGGGTTAGTAAGAAAATTTCAATCGAGCTGTAAAAGGTGGATAGCTGGTTGCCTAAAGCGAACCGAACAATAGGGTGAGCCGAACCATAAACGAACCAAACCGAAATAAGGCGGTTACCTATGGTTCGATCGGTTCACAATCACCCTAATTTATAAAAAATAATAATTTATATTATAAAAATGGTACCGAAATACACCATCTAAAACAATTACACAACAAATAAACAACGCTACAAATTGAAAGAAGTTTAATCATATAAAACCGTCCATTTTTCTATTCATGTTGACTCCTTCACGTACGCCTTCATACAACCAAATTTAATTATCCATCGTAATCCTTCGCATCAAAACACAAAAAGATTTTAATTATTTAACTTTAGGTTAATAAATAAATAAAAATATAATATTTAATATTATATATACATTAGATCCCGGATACGTGTAGATACGTAAAACTCAAAACCAAAAGCGACTCGTGAATTCCCGTTTTTTCGGATTTTCCAGTTATTGATTTTTTTTAGTTTCGGTTCAAACAGTTCCGCTTGGTTTCTCGGTTTTCCAGATTTATGAACACCCGTAATTGCGACATATGTGACGTAGATAATTGCTAACGAAAAATTCAAATTAACAGCTTACTCATTATTATGATGGTATATTTTTCGAACTACAATGTTCTAATAAAATATGATTCAAATATACATTGTTGTAATAATAAAAAAATAAAAATACAAAGTTATAATATCTTTTTTTATTATTTTCTGTTTTTTTTTAATTCTTGTAATGAAAGAGATGATTAAGGGGACATTTACCTCATCTAATAATACAGAATATATTAAATTATTTATCAAAATTGGTAAAAGAAAATCTGAAACTTTTTTCCTTTTTAGTCGAGAAATAAATTATAATAAAATAAAAATTAATTAAATTTTACCCAGTATCATTTAAAAAAAGTGATTTCAATTCTTTTTAATAAGGTAAATTGATGAAGAGGCTTGATTATATCATCAAAGTTTTGTAATCCATTTAGGCCGATTTAGGGGTCGTTTATCAAGCGTTTATTTGGGTAGATATTTATGAAGTTGCATTATCTTATTGAATGAATATGGTAAGAACCAAGAATCTTATCTGCTAAGAGCGAGACAAGGGCCAAGAGTCTTACCCGGTAATTGAGGGCGCTTATCGTGTAAATTGTTACATGCGATGTCGTTTTGGTGGACTAAAATATTATGCGGTAAGTAAATAGTAGTGTTAAATTTAACGGTAAATACTTACCGGGTAAGTATGTAGTACACGACCCCTTGATTTTAAACTAGAAGAGTACTCGTGCAATGCAGCGAGACACATCTCGATTTTAAATGTTCTATTTTATTATTTGTCTCTGTCGATGTTATAATACGATTTTATGTGTTTTTAAGAAAACAATAATGATTTTATTTTTGAATAAAAATATAAATTTGAAGATATCATAAAAATATGAGAAAAAAT